CTGGGCATGGTGGCGGGCACCTGTAGTCCCAGCTACTTGGGAGGCTGAGGTGGGAGAATGGCATGAACCCAGGAGTTGGAGCTTACAGTGAGCCGAGATCACACCACTGTACTCCAGCCTGGGCGACAGAGCAAGACTCCGTCAAAAAAAAAAAAAAAAAAGAAAATCTTTTTATGTCTCTTCTGAGGCTAATACTTCACTGTGAAATCAGTGAGAAAAACACTTTACGTTTTGATAAGACATAACTGAGGAACTCGGGAGTAGGTGGCTGTTATAAGTGTTTCACATTTGAAGATCGAAAGATCTACAAATAGATTGTATGTATTTATACACTATTTCGCACAACTTGCTTTTTAAAAACTTCATGTGATTTTTAAAAAATGGCCACATAGCACTGAACTGTACAACTAAAAATGGTGAAGATGGTAAATATTATATGTATTTTGCCACAACAAAACCAATTTTTTTTTTTAATGGCCACAAATTCTTATGCTTCTTCCACTATGAGGTGGGGGGCTATGCCTCCTCCCCTTGATTCTGGGTGGGCTTTGACTATTTCAACTGAGTATGGCAGAAGTTCTGCTATGTGATTTAGAGTTTTGCATCATTTTAGCCAGGTGCACTGGCTCACGACTGTAATCCCAGGGCTTTGGGAGGCCAAGGTGGGGTGGATCACCTCAGGTCCGGAGTTCGAAATCAGCCTGGCCAACATGGTGAAACCCTGTCTCTACTGAAGATACAAAACTTAGCTGGGTGTGGTGGTGCATGCCTGTAATCCCAGCTACTCGGGAGGCTGAGGCAGGAGAATTACGTGAACCTGGAGGTTGCAGTGAGCCAAGATCACACCACTGCATTCTAGCCTGGGTGACAGAATGAGACGCCATCTAAAAATAAATAAATAAAGTTGTGCCTCATTTTATATATAAGTGTTCTTTGCAACCATCATACATCTTTTTGTTTTCTTTTTTATTTTTCTTTTGGGGCTTAGCATCATGCCTCTTGACTTCTTTTTTTTTTTTTTGAGATGGAGTCTCACTTTGTTGCCCAGGCTGGAGTGCGATGGTACAATCTTGGCTCACTGCAACCTCCGCCTCCCAGGTTCAAGTCATTCTCCTGCCTCAGCCTCCGAGTAGCTGGGATTATAGGTGTGCCACCACATCCGGCTAATTTTACATTTTTAGTAGAGACGGAGTTTCACCATGTTGGCCAGGCTGGTCTCAAACTCCTGACCTCCAGTTATCCGTCCACCTCGGCCTCCCAAAGTGCTGAGATCACAGGTGTGAGCTACCACGACCGGCCAACATTATTATTTCACTGTTCAATTACAATATACATTTATTGGGGTGAAAGAAAATTGAATGTGGATATGTGGATAGGCAGTCTAATTTTTTTTTTTTTTTGAGACGGAGTCTCGCTCTGTCGTCCAGGCTGGAGCGCAGTGGCCAGATCTCAGCTCACTGCAAGCTCCACCTCCTGGGTTTACGCCATTCTCCTGCCTCAGCCTCCCGAGTAACTGGGACTACAGGCGCCCGCCACCTCGCCCGGCTAGTTTTTTTTTTTGTATTTTTTTTAGTAGAGATGGGGTTTCACCGTGTTAGCCAGGATGGTCTCGATCTCCTGACCTCGTGATCCACCCGTCTCAGCCTCCCAAAGTGCTGGGCTTACAGACTTGAGCCACCGCGCCCGGCCTTGTTTTTTTTTATGATACATGAACATATCCAATATTGAATTTACAGGCATTAAAAAAATCAGGTTGTATTCTGCAAACTGTTGGTGGCATGTTAAATGTTTTGTTTTAGTGGTATTTGGAAGACTGGTTGGGGTTTCTGGATGGGCTAAGAACATGTTTTTCTCATTTAAACATAGACTAGGCACAGTGGCTCATGTCTGTAATCCCAGCACTTTGCGAGGCTGAGGCAGGCAGATCGCTTGAACTCAGGAGTTCAAGACGAGTCTGGGCAACGTAGTGAAATGCCATTTCTACCAAAATATAAAAATTAGCCAGGCATGGTGGTGTGTGTTTGTAATCCCAGCTACTTGGGATGCTAAGGAACGAGAATCACTTGAATCCAGAAGGCGGAAGTTGCAGTGAGCTGAGATTTTGCCACTGTACTCCAGCTTAGGTGAAGAAGATTCTGTCTCAAAAATAAATACATAATATGTAAATAAATAAAAATAAAATCATAGACAGCTACTCAGGAGGCTGAGCTGGGAGGACTGCTTGAGCTCAGGAGTTCAAGGCCAGCTTGGGCAACATAGTTAGACCCTGTCTCCATTAAGTCAATCAATCAAGGAAGGTACTTCCATTATTTAAATTTTGTCTTCCAACACATTTTAGGGGGGCTAATAAAGGATCCCTGTCTGTCCAGAAACTGTTGTACAGAAGGACTGAGTACTTCCTCATTCTGTATATGGCCACGTGCAGTTAGCCCATTTCCTTCTTTAAAAACATTTTTTTCTTTGTAGAGATGAGGTCTTATGATGTTGTCCAGACTGGTTTCAAACTCCTGGCCTCAAGCGATCCTTTCACCTTGGCCTCCCAAAGTCCTAGGGTATCAGGTGTGAGCCATCATGCCAGGCCTGCATTCCCCATCTGATGAGTTCTTTGGTTGTTTCCAATCTTTTCCTCTAGGAATAATGGCATGGTGAATTATTTACAAGTGTGTGTTCCTAGAAGTGGAATAGTTGGGTCAAAAGGTAAGCATATTTGTAATTTTGAAAAGATTGTCAAATTGTCCTCCAAAGAACTTATACAAATTTAAATTCCCACCAAGATATGAGAATAAATGTTCTGGTAATTTTGTCCACAGTTATCAAACTTTAAATTTTGCCATTCTGACAAGTAAAAAATTGAATCTAAGTAGTTTTAATTTGCATTTTTATTAGCATTAAGGAGGTTTAATTTCTTTTCACATGTTCCAAAGTCCTTTGGGTCATGCACAGTGGTTCACATCTCTAATCCCAGCAACTCAGGAAGATCGCCTGAGGCCAGGAGTTTGAGACCAGCCTGGGCAGCATACCAAAATCCTACCCATATAAAAAATAAAAATAAAAAAAATTGACTGAGTGTGGTGACATGCACCTGTATGGTCCCAGCTACTCAAGAGGCTGAGGCAACAGGATTGCTTGAGCTTAGGAGTTTGAGGCTGCAGTGAGCTATGATTGCTTCACTGCACTCCAGCCTGGGTGACAGAGCAAGACTCTATCTCTAGTGGGGAGAAAAAAAGTCCTTTGTATTTTTTTCTATGGTGTATTTATTTGCATTATTATTATTATTTTTCTTTCGAGACAGAGTTTCACTGTCACCCAGGCTGGAGTGCAGTGGAACAATCTTGGCTCACTGCAATCTCTGCCTCCTGGCCTCAAGCAATCCTCCCACTTCAGCCTCCCAAGTAGCTGTGACTTCAGGTGCACACCACCATGCCTGGTCAATTTTTTTTTTTTTTTAAGTTTTTAGTAGAGACAAGGTTTCACTATGTTGCCCAGTCTGGTCTCAAACTCCTGGGCTTAAGCAGTCCACTAGCTTAGTCCTCCCTAAGTGCTGGGATTATAGGTATGAGCCACCATGCCCAGCCCAGCTATTTTTTTTTTTTTGTTATAGAGTCTCACTCTGTTGCCTAGGATAGAGTGCAATGGCTTGATCTCGGCTCGCTGAAGCATCCACCTCCTGGGTTCAAGCGATTCTCCTGCCTCAGCCTCCCAAGTAGCTGGGATTACAGGTGCCCACCACCACACCCGGCTATTTTTTGTATTTTTAGTAGAGATGGGGTTTCACCATGTTGGCCAGACTGGTCTCGAACTCCTGACCTCAGGTAATCCCAAAGTGTTGGGATTACAGGAGTGAGCCACCATGCCTGGCCAGCCCAACCATTCTTATTTGTTATGATATGATCTTTAGGAGAAGTCTAAGACTTATGTAAATAGTTATTGGACTATGTTTTAAATATAGGTCAAATGTCATTAAAATATTGCAAATTATTTGCATTTTTAAACATTTTGTTGTTGAGAAACATTTGTTATAACACCTTCAAAGTACAAAATAATTTTATTATTGAAACTGCAATTTTAAAACTTGCAATTAGCTAAATAGAAGCCTATATAATCACAATAACTAGCATTTGTGGCACTCAGGGGTATTGTGCTAGATTGCTAGATGCACTTTCTTTTTTTAAGATAGAATCTTGCCCTGTCACCTAGGCTGGAGTGCAGTGGCATGATCTCTGCTCACTGCAACCTCTGCCTCCTGGGTTCAAGTGATTCTCCCACCTCAGCCCCCTGAGAAGCTGGGATTACAGGCATGAGCCACCACGCCTGGCTAATTTTTTGCATTTTTAGGAGAGACGGGGTTTCACCATGTTAGCCAGGATGGTCTCGATCTCCAGACCTCATGATCTGCCCACCATGGCCTCCCAAAGTGCTGGGATTATAGGCGTGAGCCACAATACCTGGCCTAGATGCTTTATACGAACTGATTCAAACCTCCTGCCACTAGAAGGTACTTTTACTGCCCTCAGTTTGAGGAAATTAAGATGGTGAGAAATTGGGCCAGGCAAGGTGGCTCATGCCTGTTATACCAGCACTTAGGGAGGCCAAGGTGGGAGGATTACTTGAGGCCTAGAGTTCAAGACCAGCCTGGGCAAGAAAGCAAGACCTTGTCTCTACAAAAAAATTCAAAAATCAGGAAGGCATGGTGGTGTGTGCCTGTAGCCCCAGATACTCAGGAGGCTGAAACGGGAGGATCCCTTAAGCACAGGGATTCAGGGTTGCAGTGAGCTATGGTCATAACACTACACTCCAGCCTGGGTGACAGAGCAAGACCATCCCGTTTCTCTCTGTGGGAAATTAAATAACTTGTTCATGCCCACACAGCTTGTAAGTAATAGAACCAGAACTGAAATCCAGACTTATTTTACTTCGAAACCTGTGTTTAATCATGTTTGAGTTTTTTAGAAATCTTTTTTTTCAACTGGCAAAATAAAGGCAAACTAATTCCAGTAATATCAAATTCACTTAATTTATTCACAAGTATGGCAAACGACTACAAAGGCAGAATAACAGGTGTAATTAACACTTCTATGCGCTGGCTGTTTGCTCCACATGCCTTTCTAGGCCACCGGCTGCAGTGCTGGGCGTTTACAGCTGCAGACCACTCCTCCCAGACTTCTAGCCAGGTGGCTTCCAGTTTGGTTCTGCTATTTCTTGGCACTGGTATAAGAATTAGAAGCTTGAAGAAAGTGCAGCAATGTTTCTTCTTTTGGTGGTGGGCTTGACAGCTTGGGCAGCGGCAGTGCAAGTTGTCAGCAGCACTGGTGAAGAGACTCCTGGGCTTCTGAGCACTGCAGTGGCCGCAGCAGCTCCGACAGCTCAGTGGCAAATGTGGGCTCGGGACTCCAAGCCAGGGGCAGGAGCAGCTCCTGATCTGTGGCTGCGAAGCCCTCCTTCCCCTTTGTCTGGCTCCCCCTTCTACCTTCCTTCTGTTCTTTCAGTCTTTTGAAGAACTTTATAGCCAATCCCAGGCATGAAATTCTTCTCTGCTTGGCCTATCTAGAGTGGCTTTTATTTTTCTGACTGGCTACTGACTGATACACTCTGCCACTAAAATTATACCAATATTTTCTTAGAATAACACTAAAAAGACTGATATTACTTTTTTATATGGAAGATATAGGCTATAAGCACTCAATTTTCTTGAGGGAGAGAGCTATTTTTGCACTTTGTTTCCCTCATATACGGTGCAAAAAGTTGATAGTCTCTATAAATTGCACAAGTAACTGGCAATGAAAACACTTATTAATTCAGGACATGAGTTCTTTATGGAGCAATTATGCTCATATTAAGTGTTTTATTTATTACATGTGGGGTAATGTTAAGACAAATAGCTATAATACAGAGATTCTACAATTTAAAAACTAATAAATACAGTCCATTAATAGCAGATTCCAAAATTCTTGTCCTTCTTGAAGAAAAGGTTCAATGATTTACTATAACCCACTAAGAAACATCTAAATGGGAAGAAACACAGAAGTGATTTTTATAAGTCACTTAGTTTTTCAAATTGAAAATCGTCAAATAAACTACAGAACTTAAGACTTAAGTGAAGTGATACAAATCTATACATAAAACTATTTGGCATTTTAGATGAGAGAAACAGATTTTAAAGACCACAAATTCATCTCTTGAATCAATACTCTCCCTTTCTGGAAAAAAAAGTAATCTTATGCCATTGAGCACAACCACCTGGAGGTAAACCCTGTAAGTTATTAATCGGAGGTAACAAAATGCGGGCTTATTCTAATACGCCTGATCTGGACCACAGGAAGAAAAAAGCCTCTACACCTAGGTTTACTAAAGCTACCAATATTCCAATCTGAAAAATAGCAAATAAAAAATAAAGCTACCAAAATATGATCAAAGTAAAAATTTTACCTGGTACTTAAGTTCAAAATAGGAGTAAAAATAAATTACGTGCACATTTTACATACAAAAAATTTGGAAGAAGGTACAGCAAAATGTTAACAGTGATCCTGTCTGGGTAGTGAGATTTTGGAGATCAGTTTTTTTTTTTTTTTTTTTTTTTTTTTTTTTGGCTCCTTCATATTTCTCCTTTTTCTTTTCTTTTCTTTTTTTTTTTTTGAGATGAGTTTTGCTCGTCGGCTAGGCTGGGGTGCAGTGGCACAACCTTGGCTCACTGCAACCACCGTCTCCCGGACTCAAGCAATTCTCCTGCCTCAGTCTCCCGAGTAGCTGGGATCACTGGCATGTGCTACCACCACGCCTCGCTAATTTTTGTATTTTTAGTAGAGACGGGGTTTCACCATGTTGGCCAGGCTGGTCTTGAACTCCTGGCCTCAGGTAATCTGCCCGCCTCGGCCTCCCAAAGTGCTGGGATTACATGTGTGAGCCACCGTGCCTGGTCATACTTCTTTTTTTCTGCAGTGAACATACGTTTTAGGTAATTAAAGAATAATAATTAATTTAAAAAGCAATTAATACCCAAGCATGACAGTAATCAACACCTTTAGAATTCAGTTTTTCATCTACTTCAATATTAAAAACACCACCTTATGAAGAATGGTAATGCTGGAAAGCACCTGAGAGACCATGGGGTCCAGATCTGAAGACTAAGCCCACACTAGGCTTTGCTGCCCAGTGGCAGGGCTGAGATTAGAACTGTGGCCTCTTGATTTCTAGTTTAGAGCACACCAAGTAAAATATAAAAATTACAGTTACACATAAAAATACATTTATCTCCAGAACACTAGAAAAGGTTGGTCAATTTTAAGGCCCTAGGAATATAAACAATGTCAAGTTAGAACCTAAGAACTCTCCATCAGCTTTACCTTCAGAATTTCACAGGGAGCGGCTTCTGAAGGCACAGGTTTCCCGCAGTGCTTTGAATATTCAGTTATCAAGACTGAAGCTTCATCTAAACTACAAAATCAAAAAGAAAAAGAAGTGTTAGGCCACGCAGAGTGCCTTGTACCTATAATCCCGGCACTCAGGGAGGCCAAGATGTGCAGATGGCTTGGGTCCAGGAGTTGGAGACCAGCCTGGGCAACATGGCAAAGCCCTGTCTCTACAAAAAAATATAAAATTAGCCAGGTATGGCGTCGCACACTTGTAGTCTCAGCTACTCTGGAGGCTGAGGTGGGAGGATCGCTTGAACCCAGGAGGTTGAGGCAGCAGTGAGCCATGTTTGTGCACTCCAGTCTGACTGACAAAGCAAGACCCTATCTCAAAAAGAAAAGAAAGAAAAAGAGGCGTTAAAGTCAAAATTTACGTAAAGACCAATCTCTAAATTTAATGTTTTATTTGGGAAAAAAGAATTCCAATTTGGGGCATATACATAGACTGGGTAGTCTCTGGATTGTCCAAAGAACAAAGAGAAGGTTAGAGATTTTATGAAAAAGAGACAGGTTACATATTATTCTTTTCTTGTGTGTGTGTGAGATGGAGTTTCACTTTGTTGCACAGGCTGGAGTGCAATGGTGCCATCTCTGCTCACTGCAACCTCCACCTCCTGGGTTCAAGCGATTCTCCTGCCTCAGCCTCCTGAGCAGCTGGGATTACAGGCATGCGCCACCACACTCGGCTAACTTTTTGTATTTTTAGTAGAGACAAGTTTCATCATGTTGGCCAGGCTAGTCTTGAACTTCTAACCTCAGGTGATCCACCCACCTTGGCCTCCCAAAGTCCTGGGATTACAGGCTTAAGCCACTGCGCCCAGCCAAAATTACGTTTTTGGAGCCATGTTTTGTACTCTGAGTGCTTTTCCCTGGGCCGCTCTGATGTATTTGGGTATCACAAGAATAACCTAACTCATGTAATCAACTTCACAGAGGGCATGAGGAAACTTTCGGAGATAGTATGTTCACTCTCTTGATTGTGGTGATGGCTTCATAGGTATACACATGTCAAAATTTACTAAACTGCAGACTTCAAATATGTCCAGCTTATTCTATGTATCAATTATAACTCAAAAAATACTTGCTCAAAAATGACAATATCTAATTATGGCTGGATCACAAGAGATAAACAAGCAGATGGAAATCCATGGAATGGAAACGAGAAAGAAAGACCTCTCAAGCGCCAGCACAGCTAGACCACATGCAGGGATGGATATGGTGTGTACTGCAGTCTTGAACTTCCCTTTCTTTAGAGTCAGCCCATTTCTTCCTTCTCCCATTCAGTTTCCATATCCATCCCCAGCTCTATCCCAAGAAGATTATTGTTTCTAAACTTGTGGGTGCTAGAAAATTAGATAACCAGGTTTAACAAAAATGATGTTACATAAAGTCATTAATGTTCTGAGCAAGTATCTAAGACATAAAATTGTAATGCAGGATTTAGAGCAGGGCTACGAGACATTCGATTTGGGGATTCAGATGACCTGTTTAATTGTCAGATTCTAAGGTCACGTTCTAAGAAATTGGGTTATTAAATGATTAACTTTTGGATATGTGCAGTAATGAGAGATGTAATATTTTGAGCTTTTAATTACAACAAAATAGCTCTACAGTTGACATTTTCCTCCAACATAAAGATAGATTTTTTTTTTTTTTGAAGCAGAGTTTCACTCTTGTTGCCCAGGCTAGAGTGCAATGGCGCGATCTCAGCTCACTGCAACCTCTGCCTCCAGGGTTCAAGTGATTCTCCTGCTTCAGCCTCCCGAGTGGCTGGGATTACAGGAAGGTGCCACCATGCCCAGCTAATTTTGTATTTTTAGTAGAGACACGGTTTCTCTATGTCCATGCCCAGCTTACAAAGAGATTTTAAGGAAATTCCACAGTAAGTTGCTTTTTGAAAATAAACTTACCTTAAGTCATTTGCCAAATAGTTTACTAGTTCAGTGATATTGTTGGTATTCATCACATGCATCTTCAACATTTGAAAGTATTTGGTCTTTGCCAAAATCCCAAACTCCTTCTTACTGATGATACTATTCAGAATCAGACTTCTAATCTATAGAATGACACATAGCATTAAGATCAGACTTCTCATCTATTAGAATCAGACTTCTAATCTATAGAATGACAGGTATCAAGCCTTTATTCAATATCAAAACATTGTTACAATCAGAAGTCCAATTAGCACTGTATTATGACTGCGCCTCCTTTTTGAGGGGGTAAAAAGGGAAAGGAGGCCTGTCAGCATCAGTCAATAAATAAAGTAATTGTTGTTTTGCGCTTTGAGACTTTTTATGAGGAAGAAGATCTGTTTTCAATTAAAAGCACTTAAGGCTACAAATTTTCCATGGAGCACAGTAGTCAACAAGACCCTCAGGGTCCCTGCCTTTTAAAAAATTTACTGAGGTTTTAATAGAAGCAAAATAATTCTATACATAAACAAACAGCTAGACATAGCAGTTTTCAGCTTAATCTTGGTTTGGGAAAATGAAATGAAATCGCCTCTTACTTGATGTGAAAATCCTGCTAGCTGGCCTGTGTTCATATGCTCTTCCAATTGCTTTAAAATAACCTGAGGGTCACACGAACCCAGAAAATTCTAGAGAAAAATCAAAGCAGAATTAATAGAAAAGTGTTATTACTTATTCCAACAGCAAGAGCTGTTGATCAGGTATTTTGTCATTCTAAGTGCCAAAATAAATATATTTAAATACTGAAACACAGAATGGCATCAAGGAATGAGTGTACGAATGATGAAAAGAGGGGAAAAAGTCAAAGACAAGAACAGGTGGCTTTAAAAAATGTAATTAATAGACCAAATGACAAATAAAAAATATGCATGTTCAGCTGGACACAGTGGCTCATGCCTATAATCCCAACACTTTGGGAGGCCAAGGCCACTGGATTGCCTCAGGTCAAGAGTTCGAGACCTGCCTGGCCAAAATGGCAAAACCCTGTCTCTACTAAAAATACAAAAGTTAGCTGGGTGTGGTGGCGGGAACCTGTAATGTCAGCTACTTGGGAGTCACTTGAATCCGGGAGGCAGGTTGTAGTGAGCTGAGATTGCGCCACTGCACTCCAGCCTGGGTGACAGAGACAGACTCTCTTAAAAAAAAAAAAAAAAAAGCATGAAAGCATACATGTTCATTTATGTAGATCTCTATCTACTGGTATGTCTACCTACAGGGAAGATAACAGATAACTGTAAAACATTCCAAAATGCTTTGTTCTACTTGTTCTCTATTATAAAGGAAATGAGAGTTATTTTTTAAAGTTCTGTCCCCAAAATGCTCGTGGCTCCCTCTGATGGGCACCCACACATAAAATCTGACTCCCCCCTTCTTTTATCTCCCACATTCAATTGCTAAGTCAGCTGCTTTCCTTGTAGCCTTCTCATCTTGTTCAAGTTCATTACCAGACTCTACTGTGGGTACTTAACCCCCAAGACTTCCCTGCCTATGCACAAGGCTGATATGAAGAGATCAAGTGGGGTAAAATTCTACTCAAATGCAACAGCTTCCCAAGAGTTTCCCTTCTTGTCTTCTCCTCTGACCAAGTCTACATGGGTTAATGGGTTATTCTTTCTAAAATACTTCCTTCATCATTTCAGTTTGCTATTCTAAAATAATCACTTGTTTCCCCACTGATAGACAATAAGGCCCAAACCCCTTTTAAGACATCCCTCAGCTGGACTTTATCTTTCAGTCTTACCTCCCACTAAGTCCCCATACAAGCTTCACACATATCTGATGTATGCATGCTTTACAGGTTTGCTGAAATGAAAATGCGACCTTTTGCAAGGGACATGCAAGATGAGACCTTCTATTTCCTTGGCAGCCCAGAGGAATCATGTGCACCATACCTGAATTTGCTGGTGTCTTTTCTCTGAGTGGGGCATGAGCATCAGACAAGCTAATGCAAAAGCCGGAAGTTCTAACTGGATATATTGCCTGGCGACTCCAATCAGGTCAAGATCACCTGAGACTGGACATCTTCAAGAGAGCACATTAATTAGTTAATAATCTGTCAGATTCACTAGATTATATTGGCCTTTCTAGCTTTCCATAGTCATTTTCCTGTCCAGGCTTTCAATAATTTTAAACACTAAAGTGCTGGTTCATGACATATGCTTAGGAATGAGTAACATGAGTCTTTGACGGCATTCTACACGGAATAAAAGAATCTACCCACGGGAACACGGACTACTGTTTGCTATACCATGATTATGTCTGAAAGCCTACAGATGCCTAAAGATAGGCTTCTAAATCCTCAGAAGACTCAAAAACTTTTTTTTTTCTTTTTTTGAGAAACAGTCTAGCTCTATCACCCAGGCTGAACGTGATCTTAGTTCACTGCGACCAACACCTCCCGGGTTCAAGCGATTCCTCCTCAGCTTCCTGAGTAGCTGGGATTACAGGCATGCGCCACCACGCCCAGCTCATTTTTGTATTTTTAGTAGAGATGGGGTTCCACCACGTTAGTCAGGCTGATCTCAAACTCCTGACCTCAAGTGATCCACTCGCCTCAGATTCCCAAAGTGCTGGGGTTACAGGTGTGAGCCGCCGCACCCAGCCAGAAGACTCAAAATCTATGTGACAACGATGTATGATTTAGGGTAGTCACCAAAAGTACTCTATGCTCATATAGACAGTAGGTACTCAATTTAGAGAATGCTCAGTTTACTAGTCACACAACACATGGGAAGTAGACATTGTAAAAATAATTGAGATATTTTGGTATAAAAACAAGTGTTGCCGGGTGCAGTGGCTTACACCTGTAATCCCAGCAATTTCGGAGGCTGTCTCTACTAAAACTACAAAAATTAGCCAGGTGTGGTGGTGTGTGGTGTGTGGCTGTAATCTCAGCTACTCACAGGACAGCTCATGCCTGTAATCCCAACACTCTGGAAATCCCGTCTCTAGTAAAAATACAAAAATTAGCCAGGAGTGGTGGCGCGTGCCGGTAATCCCAGCTACTCAAGAGGCTGAGGCAGGAGAATTGCTTGAATCTGGGAGGCGGAGGTTGCAGCGAGCCGAGATTGCACCATTGCACTCCAGCCTGGGCGACAGAGCGAGACTCCGTCTCAAAAAAACAAAACAAAACAAAAACAAGTGTTATGCTTAACTTCCTAACAAAAAGGAATTACTCATAAGAGATATCTATTAGAAAGGAATCTTATAAGCAACAAACTTTTTTTTTTTGGTAGAACAAACATTTTACTTACTCAAGGACAGCAATGAGACTCTCAGAACAATCTGACAGCTGATCAGGACTTAAGGGACAAGAAGCTGAAGATAAAAAAAACCAACCATGATATACACACACTCAACTATAAAATGCTGTAGCGAATGTTTCAGAGGAGAGCGAAATACCTGAAAGCAGTGGTATCTGTATCACACGCTGCCATGCTTTGCTGAAGTAGGGAACCTGTGAAAACAAGTCCACGTTTGGGATATTCATGTTAAGGATATTACAGACTCTCTTTAATTTGCAGTCTAGGCCGGGTGCAGTGGCTCACACCTATAATCCCAGCACTTTGAAAGGCTGAAGCAGGTGAATCACTTGAGGTCAGGAGTTCGAAACCAGCCTGGCCGACATGGCAAAACCCCGTCTCTACTAAAAACACAAAAATTAGCTAGGCATGGTTGTGCATGCTTGTAATCCCAGCTACTCGGGAGGCTGAGACACAAGAATCGCTTGAACCTGGGAGGTGGAGGTTGCAGTGAGCTGAGATCACACCATTGCACTCCAGTCTGGGCAACAGAGCAAAACTCCATCTCCAAAAAGATATTATGAACTCTTTCTAAACTGCAGCCTAAATGTTCTGAAATTAGATAATGGTGATGGTTGTACAATTTTATGAATATACCAGAATCTACTTGATTGTATACTTTCAAAAGGACGAATTTTACAAGTGAATTGTATCTCAACAAAAAAATTAGATAGATCACTATGTGCTGATATGAAACACTCTCCAGAGGCCACTGTTAAATGGTCACAAAACTATACATTTATAGTTTATATTCCAGATGACTAAAATCATAATCTCCCTGTTTGAGATGATTAAGGTTCTAGCATAATGTTCTTCACAACTGTATCTTTCAGGATCTCACTATACAATCCTGGCTGATTCATTATTGTTCCATTTGGCAAAAAGTCAGAACCCAACTCAGAAAAGAAAATTAATCCTTAGCCGGTTATGTGCCAGGGCCACAGGAAAGGAGGAAGGGGACAAAAGAAAGAATTTCAAGAAGGTGAATAAGGAAAGAACACTGGCCAGGCGTGGTGGCTCACACCTGTAATCCCAGTACTTTGGGAGGCCAAGGCAGGAGGATTGTTTGGGCTCAGGAGTTCCAAGACCAGCCTAGGCAACACAGCAAGACCCCCATCTCTATATATTCAAAGAAAAAAAGAGGAAAGAAAACGTAAACTTCCATCAATAGAGGAGTGGTTAAATAACTTCGGGTATATTTTACTACATATTATGGAGAATAAGCATTAAAAATAAAATGCCTCAAAAGGCTAAACACAGAGTTACTGTAAGACCCAACAAGTCCACTCCTAGGTATACACTCAAGAGAAATGAAAATATGTTCAGTTAACAATGGAACATTATTTGGCAAAAAAGAGGAATGAAGTGGCCGGGTGCAATGGCTCATGCTTGTAATCCCAGCATTTTGGGAGGCCAAGGCGGGCGGATCACGAGGTCAGGAGATCGAGTCCACTGTGAAACCCCAGTCTCTACTAAAAATACAAAAAATGAGCTGGGTGTGGTGGCGGGTGCCTGTAGTCCTAGTTACTTGGGACTGAGGCAGGAGAATGGTGTGAACCCGGGAGGCGGAGCTTGTAGTGAACCGAGATCATGCCACTGCACTCCAGCCTGGGCGACAGAGCCAGACCCTGTCTCAAAAAAAAAAAAAGAAAGAGGAATGAAGTTCTGATCCATGCTACAATGTGGATGAACCTTAAAACATGATGCTGAGTGAAAGAAGCCAGACAGGAAATCCCACATAGTGTGGGACTCCGTTGATACAAAACGTCCAGAATAGGCAAATTCATGGACAGAAAGTAGATTAGTGGTCACTGGGGGCTGGAGGGAGTGGGGAATGGGGAATGATTGCTAATGGATATGAATTTTCTTTTTGGCGTGAGGAAAATGTTCTAGAATTAGATAATGGTGAGACCGTACAACTTTGTGCATATACCAAAAACTACTTCATTGTGTACTTTAAAAGGATAAATTTTACATGTGAACTGTATCTCAATAAAACAATTAGATCTACAAGTGCTGATATGGAACAATCTCCAGAGACCATTGTTATGTGAAAACAACACTTTGTTCAGAATGTGATTGCATTTATGTGTGCAAAAATGTATATATACACTGTAGATATGCACACACATACACACGTGCCTGTAAAACAGGAAATCTCGGCCAGGTACGTTGGCTTACGCCTGTAATCCCAGCACTTTGGGAGGCCAAAGCGGGTGGATCACGAGGTCAGGAGATCGCGACCATACTGGCTAACACGGTGAAATACCGTCTCTACTAAAAATACAAACAATTAGCTGGGCGTGGTGGCAGGCACCTGTAGTCCCAGCTTCTCAGGAGGCTGAGGCAGGAGAATGGCGTGAACCCGGGAGGTGGAGCTTGCAGTGAGCCAAGATGGCGCCACTGCACTCCAGCCTGGGTGACAGAGCGAGACTCCGGCTCAAACAAAACAAAACAAAAAAAACCAAAACAGGAAATCTCTAGAATCCATAGGAAATTGTAAGCAGTCATTCCCTTAGGAAGATAATTATGAAGGAAAATAGTAAGAGGGAATTTTCATGTTTTACTCAGCATATTTCTATATTGTCCTAATTTATTAAACAAAGAATAAATTATATATTTCTACATAATATATATTTTGCTTATATGGGTACACAACTTATGTGAAACGTAGAAAAGATGAACAAGCCAGGGTATCTGATGTGAAAGATCTTCAAAGTCTGTGAGGGGCAGCCCAACATGTAATGAAAATTAATTATATGGTGACAAAAGTCAGAGTGGAGCCAAAATGTCTTGAGAGCATAAATAAAGGTGTGACTTGTGAGGCCTGGAAAACTCAGGAAAGTGGTATCTTCAGGAGGTGATGTGAGCTGAGTATTAACGGGTCCAGGCACAACTTTAATTATCCTACAGCTGATCAGTTCTGTTTCTTCTTCCTTTATTTTAGGGAAAGGATCTAGCTCTGTTGCCCAGGCTGGAGCTGGAGTGCGATGGTGCAATCATGGCTCACTGCAGCCTCAAACTCCTGGGCTCAAGTGATCCTTCCGCCTTGGCCTCCCAAAGCTTTGGGGTTACAGGAGTGAGCCACTGTACTTGGCTCAGTTCTGTTCTTTATGAAGGAGCTGACTGCTTAATCTGGTGTCCCCAGCAGTCACAAGGCCAGAAAGTATAAAGACTAAATTCAATAAAATTTATTTTAAAAAGCTACATACCTGCCATAAAGAATGGATACTGGAAATGGCTTTTAAAACTTTCCTTAGATAAGGAATCTGTAAAAAATTAAAAATAAGAAAGTTCTAAAGACCACCAAAATGGAAAATTTCAATGTGAAATACCGCATCTTAAAGTTCCAGAAAAAGTACTGGTAAAACTTTATCTTCCATGATAACTGCCAGAGAAGTTCACTTACAAGTTCATAAATATCAAAAAAGGCTAGGAAACCTTCCATTTGTTTCCAGTGAAATTTATGTCATTTTGGATTTTGCATTCTCTGGCCTAACACCAAGTTCTTTAAGTTTGGCATGAACTCAGTGAGAGTGACTGTGTTTTCAGCAGAAATCTGTTCCATAACAAGTATCAATCCAAAATGTTTAGGGGATGCTGTGCAAAAGCTTTCAGATATATTCAGTCCAGGGTATTGAGTCTTACTTACCATATTGAAGCCCAGAAGCTTTTGCAAGAGTCCATTCCAAAGCTGCAGGTCATAGATTTTGTATTCTAAACACAGCTCAGTCACCAATCTTACTGCCTGAAGCCAAAAAAAGAAAAAAATCATGCTGCTCCAACAAACCAGTAAATCAAGCCATCTTCGGAAAAGTAGGGCAGCTTAATACAAAATATGCTGCTTTTTTTTTTTTGAGATGGAGTCTCACTCCGTTGCCCAGGCTGGAGTGCAGTGGCATGATCTTAGCTCGCCGCAACCTCCACCTCCCGGGTTCAAGCAATTCTCCTGCCTTAGCTTCCTGAGCAGCTGGGATTACAGGTGGCCGCCATCACGCCTGGCTAATTTTGTATTTTTAGTAGAGACGGGGTTTCACCATGTTGGCCAGGCTGGTCTTGAACTCCTGACCTGAGGTGATCCACCCGCCTTGGCCTCCCAAAGTACTGGGATTACAGGCATGAGCCACCACACCCGGTCACAAAATGTGCTTCTAATCTGCGAATTAGAAGCTATTTCTAATTACCCCATCTATTTCTAATAGATGGGGGTCTATTGAAGGCCCCCATCTTTCTAATGAAAGAAACAACAAAAAAGAGATTCTTTTTCTTGCTATCACGGACTCAAGACACCACCTCAGACATCTCCCCCTTTCTTTCTTCTATTGAAAAAGTTTGCCTGTTGGACCAAAAAACCTTCCTACCCCAGCCTCCACTGCCTCAGAGACTAAATTCCCATAGGCAACTAAGAAGAAGATAAACGATATCCTCTCTCTACCGGACAGTCTCCTCTCCCTGTACAGATAAGGATAAGCTGTGGAAGGGATTATAGAAGTGCTCTCTCTGGTTGGCAGGGATGACTTTAACTGGTGGACCTTAAGGCAAAAGAGGTAAAAGGACCTTCCACATTGCCTTATCCATCCACACACTGGGACAGGAGAGTAGAAAGGTCTCAGAGCAGTAGAGTTGTTCAGGGATAAATACTGTTCCGGTCGGGCGCAGTGGCTCACGCCTGTAATCCCAGCACTTTGGGAGGCCCAGGTGGGTGGATCACCTTAGATCAGGAGTTTGAGACCAGCCTGGCCAATATGGTGAAACCTCATCTCTACTAAAAATACAAAAATTAGCCAGGTGTGGTGGGCAGGTGCCTATAATCCCATCTACTTGGGAGGCTGAGGCTTGAACCCAGGAGACAGAGGCTGCAGTGAGCTGAGATCATGCCACTATACTGTGGCCTTGGCAACAGCGCAAAACTCTGTCTAAAGAAAAACAAAAACAAAAAAGACTGTTCCTGGTTTTCTCTTTCAGGATTCTGAGTAGGGGCAGGGAATTGGGAATGCGGCAGTGAGGTGTACCTACCATGGACTCGTGGCTGTGGTTCTTCCACAGGCCCTTAATCATTCCTTCCTTAGGACTGTTGCAAAATAATTCGTATGTGATGGGGATATTCAAAGTCTCAAATGATGCCAGAAAAGTTATACATTTCAGATAAGATCTGGAAAACAGAAATGTTTCTAAGAATCATTCTCATAGGTCACATTTACATTTAAAATAAAAACTACCATATGGAAATATTAGGCCAGTTTGTTTTAAATGTCCATTTTGGACTTCTAAATATATTCCCTGAATATATAATAACATTAGATAGAAATCAATTTGAACAAGATAAACAAAACATTCAGTTTCTAAATGCCTCCAAGAAACGATGGAAACACGATGTTCTCAAAGCCCTATTTTCCCTTTGCCAAAATGTCAAGGATATTCAAGGCAACAGAACTGTATTCACACAGCTACTCTACTACACTCTTCTGAATTCAGGGCTTAAAAGGTACAGCTCCAAAAAATGATGTGTTTCCTATTTATTACAATTTAAACATTTCTACTTACTTCACTTCTTCAATGGGTTTTTTAAAGAGTGATTCTATAGTTTCCTTGTCAGCCAAATAGAAGAGACACTGAAGAGCTCGAGTTCTATGGGCAAAAGTTAACTGATGCATACCTAATGTCTGCAAAACCAAAAGAGGTTTGGAGAGTTGAACACCAGCACATTGTAGTTGGGTAAATGAGTTTCAACACAGGCAACATAAACAACGTCATTATTTTAAAATGAAAAGTCAATCCCTGCAGTTATGGTATGCACTGTAACAGTGGTTCTTAACATGTGGCCCATGGACCCCTGGAGGAGCATTCCTGAGACTCCCTCAGGAGGGAAAGGGTCAAAGCTGTTTTCACGACACTAAGATGTTATTTGCCTTTACACTGTGTTGATATTTGCACTAACTGTGCAAAAGCAATGGTGGGTGAAATTGCAGGCAGAATGGAGGCAGGGCCCCCAACTGTTGTTGTAACCCTTGTGTTTACAGGCATGCTCTGGCAGTATTGAAAACCAAAGACATGGCTGGGCACAATGGCTCACGCCTGTAATCCCAGCACTTTAGGAGGCCAAGACAGGTGTATCACGAGGTCAGGAGTTCAAGACCAGCCTGATCAACATGGTGAAACCCCTATCTCTACTAAAAATACAAAACTTAGCCCCAGGTGTGGCTGGCACGTGCTGTTTAATACCAGACTACTCAGGAGCTGAGAGGGAAGGAGATCAACTTATGAACCCCGAAGGTGGAGGTTTGCAGTGAGCCGAGATCTACACTGTTGCACTACTCCAGCCTGGCGACAGAGTTCGAATCTTGTCTCAAGAAACAGAAAACAACAACAAACAAAAAAAACAAAGACAAATTTCACTTAAGAATACCCTTCTTGGCCGGGCGCGGGTGGCTCAAGCCTGTAATCCCAGCACTTTTGGGAGGCCGAGACGGGCGGATCACCGAGGTCAGGAGATCGAGACATCCCTGGCTAACACACGTGAAACCTGTCTCTACTAAAAAAATAACAAAAAAACTAGCCGGGTGAGGTGGGGGCACCTGTAGTCCCAGCTACTCGGGAGGCTGAAGCAGGAAGAATGGCGTAAACCCGGAGGGCGAGCTTGCCAGTGAGCCGAGATCGGCCACTGCCACTCCAGGCTTGGGCACAAGAGCCAGACTCCGTCTCAAAAAAAAAAAAAAAAAGAATATTCTTGATGGCTGGGTATACGTGGCTCACGCCTGTATTCCCAAGCACTTTGGGAGTCGCGGCGGGGCGGATGCATCCTGAAAGGTCAGGATTCAACGACCAGCCAGGTCAACCATGGTAACCCGTTCTCTACTAAATACAAAACTTTAGCCAGGCCGTTGGTGGCCATGTGCTGTATCCCGCTACTCAGGAGGCTGAGGCAGGAAAATCACTTTAACCTAGGAGGCGGAGGTTGTGGTGAGCCAAGATTGTGCCACTGCTCTCTGACCTGGGCAACAGAGCAAGACTCCATCTCAAAAAAAAAAAAATGTAGGCCGGGCGCGGTGGCTCAAGCCTGTAATCCCAGCACTTTGGGAGGCCGAGACAGGCGCATCACGAGGTCAGGAGATCGAGACCATCCTGGCTAACACGGTGAAACTCCGTCTCTACTAAAAAATACAAAAAACTAGCCGGGCGAGGTGGCGGGCGCCTGTAGTCCCAGCTACTCGGGAGGCTGAGGCAGGAGAATGGCGTAAACCCGGGAGGCGGAGCTTGCAGTGAGCTGAGATCCGGCCACTGCACTCCAGCCTGGGCGACAGAGCGAGACTCCGTCTCAAAAGAAAAAAAAAAAAAATGTTCTTGATGAAGCAGTAAAAATTAATTTTACTAAACCTCAACTTTTGGATCCACAGTTGGCCCCCAGTTTCTGTGGGTTCTGTATTCATGGAATCAACCAACAGTGTATCAAAAATATTCAAGAAAAAAAAAAAATTCCACAAAGTTCTAAAAACCAAACATGAATTTGCTGTATGCCAAGTACTACACTGAATCCATGGGGATGAAGTGATTTGCAGGCATTGCGTTGTAAGTAACCTAGAGATGATTTAAGGTACATAGGAGGATGTGTGTAGGTGACATGCAAATACGACACCATTTTATATAAAAGACTTGAGCGTCCTCAGATTTTGGTATCCTTGGGGGTCCTGGAACCAGTCCTCCCACAGATATGGAAGGATTACTGTATATCATACTAATGTGAATTCCCATTTGAACACATGCTAATACTAATTAATGGGAAGTACACATAAGGCAGACTGCAAGGAAAAGCATGGACACAGCTGAGCTGTGAGCTGCACTAGCCACCTTTCATGGAATACCATTTTTAGGTCATAAGTCTTTACATGCAGAGAAAATAAGGGGTGGCTTTTTCCTTTTTGTCATGGGACTTTAAAATCAGCACCTCAGACTTCCTTTTCTTCCTTTTCTCTGAGAATCATTTGCCTACTACTGGCTCCACCCCCTTCTCCTCTCTCTGCTCCAGTTGCCTCAGAGGACATTTCTACAGGCAAGAACCTGAAGCTACAGGTCATGTTGCCGTTAGGGGAAATTGTAAGTTCAATCTAGCTAGAATTTAGAGGGCAGAAGGGGTGGTCTGACCAGAGCACGCAGTCGGATTAGGCTATGGTGGAGACTTGTTCATGGCCAGTTTATTTGGCTCCTGGCTTCAGGAATGTGGACTGACCAGGGAGTTAACCACTGTGAATGCAGACAGCCAGTGGAAACTGTCAATAGGTGCATCATTCAGCATGCTAAGCAGATGTTGCAGAGGCCAGCACTAAATGGAGCATGGTGCAAAAGACAATGCTTGCTTAGGAGATTAGACAGACTTAGAATACATATGTATGTGAGCATTATCTGAATCATCTGTTAATGCAATCAAGCATGGTAAATAAACAGGAAAAATGTTAAGCTGAGATGCACAGAAGAGTTTCGATTAAGTTTCTAGAGCTTACGGTTGTAGTTGACGTTGCAAATACAAACAGCATTCTTGAACTATAATCAATTGGACGAGACTGGAGGAGATACTGCACTCTGGAAAAAAATTTTTAATTACAGTTATTTTTAAATTTAGTGATGGATTACCAAAACAACAGACTTATCATCCATGGAACGGTCATTAAACAATTCAAAGGCAGATCAGAAGGATAATGGGTCAATGACATTGGTGCTTCCCCCTTTAAAGAATGCTTAATCTTTTCTTGAGTTCTTTCATTGCTAAAGATGATAATACATGCAACAGATGCCAGGCTTCAGCCTCCTCATCTATAGAATAGCCAGTCAATCTCTGGTCCCTTAAATTCTATTTAAGAAATTAATACAAACCGTAGCTGTAAAGTCTCTTGAATGCTACACATGGGAAATTCTGTGTTTGGTATGCAGGACCTTGTTAGCGGCCCATTTCAACCTCCAGACCCAGGGCAGGCTGGCGCCTCTCTGGGAAGGGAGGATGAATCAGGCCGGCTGGAGGAGGGGTGGGGCAGAGCTTTTAGTGGAAAAAGGAACATGTTATGAATTTTGCATTAAGTAGCCTTTTGGGATTTCCTTTTTCTCTCCTCTCTTTAAATCGTTTCCCTCCAAGACTTTCCATGTGGCTAGTTCAGGTAGACATACCAGGAGCTACCTCTTGTTTGAACAAAGGTGGCCCTTCCCTTAAAAGACTAAATGAGGCCAAGGTGGGGGTTCAGAGGGAAAGAGGGCATGGTATGGGTGGTTAAGACAGCTCTGCTTGCTCCAAACCAGAAGGAATCCATTTCTTGGGGTTGTCTTTCCATGTCTTTTCTATCAGTTCTCCAAGGCTGAGGTTGGACACAGGGCCTCCCAGGCCACTTGGCCTACTTTTGGTTTAGGTTAGAAAGACAAAAAGCTGGCTGGCATGTGAGCCACCATGCTTCCTTATCCATGCCTGTGCCAGGCATCATTAATGGATTGCTACATTCATTCTGACTTGGGTCCAGATAAGAGTCTTCTGAAGAATACAAGCCATGACCAATCAGACCTAGCACATTAGATAAAATCAATGCGCCTTACTAGGTCTCAGTCACAGGTTAGAAGAGCAAAAAGCCTATATCTGAACCAATCCAGTTTAGCATGGTAAGAGAACATAAAGAGGTCTGGGGCCAAAGTCCTAGCTAAGAAAGAAGTTTCTTTTGCTTGAGAGGCACCTTCCAGTTAAAGGTGTGCTAGGAACCCTCGCCCTCGTAGGAGTTCAGAAATTCTAGATCTTGGCTGGCTCTGATGTTTTCCACTGGAGAGACTCCTAGCCATGTATTAATGAACTGATTCATCTCATAGACTCTAACCCGAGTTTTATCAAGAAAGCCCTTTAAAAAAATCAACTGCTGAAAAATGTACTGGTAAAATTTCTATTTTGCATCATGATATAGGTGAATATAAGTAAAGGAAACGAGTACCTTCGTAGGGCTTCATCTTCTTGAAGTTCAAATAATTCTGATGGTTTCTTTGAAAAGGTAGGAAAAAAAGGTCAAAAACCGAAAAGTTTATGACTAAACAAACATCTCTCTGAAAATCTATTAGATAAAAAAACCCTAATATACAAGATTATGTTTACATAGAAAAATTATAACATAAATGATTACTTTTCTATGAAAAGATTTCTGCTTGAATGATGGGTCTACTCACATCTGTTCACTCAACAAATATTCACTGAGCACTTACTATATGATAGGCACAATTCTAAGTATATGGATTGCCTGAGTAAATAAAGCAAATGTTCCTGTCCTCCTGGAGCTTACATGCCTTGGATTTTTATTTTTATTTATTTTTATTTTTGGAGACAGGGTCTAGCTCTGTCACTCAGGCCAGAGTACAGTGGCACAACCACAGCTCCCTGCAGCCTCAACCTCCTATACTCAAGCAATCCTCTTGCCTCAGCCGCCCAAGTAGCTGGGACCACAGGTGCACACCATGGCACCTGGCTAGTTTTTAAAATTTTTGTAGAGATGGAGGTCTCGCTATGTTGCTCAGGCTGGTCTCAAACCCCTGGCCTCAAACAACCCTCCTACCTCGGCCTCCCAAAGTGCTGAGGTTACAGTTATGAGCTACCTTGCCCAGCCCCATATTATATAATTTTTAAAAGGAAAAAACTCCATGAATTTTAAATGAACCATTTGTTAATTCAGTATATATCTATTGGGATTTACAAAGTACTGTGCTAGGTGCTATGTATACATGCAGTTTCTGGCCTCAAGGAACTTTCAGTGTGTACCTTGAACTTACATATAAGTTAAAACATCTGTAAAGGCTGGTTTCTAAAACTCAACCACATATTCTACGTGGCCAAGATAGGTTCTAACTCCTGTTTCCACTGAAGCACAGTCCATGCTCTTGGTAAATACTTTAAAAATCGTTGTTGAATCAAATGCCAAATCATATAAAAATTGCTAATTAAAAACCTAATGGTGGCCGGGTGCAGTGGCTCACACCTGTAATCCCAGGACTTTGGGAGGCCGAGGTGGGTGAATCACCTAAGCTCAGGAGTTTGAGACCAGTTTGGGCAACATGGCGAAAACCCATCTCCACTAAAAATACTAAAAAAATTAGCCGGGCACAGGTAATTTTTTTTTTTTTTTGAGACGCAGTCTCGCTCTGTCGCCCAGGCTGGAGTGCAGTGGCGCGATCTCCGCTCACTGCAAGCTCTGCCACCTCCCGGGTTAACGCCATTCTCCTGCCTCAGCCTCCCTAGAAGCTGGGACTACAGGCACCCACCACCACACCCGGCTAATTTTTTTTGTATTTTCAGTAGAGACGGGGTTTCCCTGTGTTCGCCAGGATGGTCTTGATCTCCTGACCTCGTGCTCCGCCCACCTCGGCCTCCCAAAGTGCTGGGATTACAGGCATGAGCCACTGTGCCTGGTCAGGTAATTTTTTGAAAGTAGCTGGGACTACAGGTGTCCCAGCTACTCTGGAGACTGAGGCACGAGAATCACTTAAGCCGGGGAGGTGGAGGCTGTAGTGAACTGAGATCATGTCATTGCTCTAACAAACAAACAAACAAAACTCTAATATCATGTTAATTACACTATTTGTTTACAAATAGATTTTGTTCCCCCAAGAATATCTGCCTAGGTGGATATAGGAATTATAGACTCTACCTTAAGTTCTGCCTGAAAATTCAGAAGAAATGATACAGAAGATCTGGATTTGCTGAATCCTATCTTAAATTTTAGATGTTAATGATGCTATTTCTGAAAAACTGACATTATGTGCTTCCTGGTGTGATCCTTTGAAAGTAACACATCACCTATACAGTATTCTTGCCAAAAGCACATAACCTGAATCAAATAACAGGAAACATTAGCAGACCCAAAATGAAACATTTTATAAACCGGCTGGCCTGTGCTCTTCAAAAACATCAATAAATCAGGGTATGCAGGGGTAGAGGAAAGGAGTTGGGAGAGGCATCGAATATTGTATCATCCCAAAATATTTCCTCTAATAATTACAAAAGGAAAAATAGCAATTATGGAGTAGACAAACAGACAACACCTTAACCAAGTTATCTAAATTAACATCAACTATGAGGGCAAAGGGACCTCACGTGCCTCCAAATGTCATACCCTGAGGAGGGCACAATACAACTTATGCAGTATGATGTTAAAAATAAGTAATTTGAATCTTATCATGAGGCAGTATTAGACAAGCCCAAATTGGAGGACAGCTTATGAAACAGCTGGATTATACTCTTCAAAAATGTCAATATCATAAAAGACAAGAAAAAGTCACAGAACTGTTGTAGATTAAAACAGACTAGAGGCCAAGCGTGGTGGCTCATGCCTGTAATCCCAGCACTTTGGGAGGTTGAGGTAGAAGGAACATATGAGGCCAGGAGTTCGAGACCAGCCCAGCCAACATGGTGAAAACCTATCTCTACTAAAAATACAAAAATTAGCTAGGCATGGTGGCGGGCACCTGTAATCCCAGCTACTCGGGAGGCTGAGACATGAGACTCGCTTGAACCCAGGAGGTGGGGGTTGCAGTGAGCTGAGATTGCACCACTGCACTCCAGCCCGGGCAATGGAGCCAGACTGTGTCAGAAAAAAAAAAAGCAGACTAGAGACATGACCAACAAATGCAAAGCATAGTCCTAGACAAGATCCTAGACCTGGGGGAGAAAACTGCTATAAAAAACATTATTAGGACAATTGGTATAACTGTAAAATGGACCATAAATTCAATTATATCACCATTAAATTTCTGATTTTTATAATTATATTATGGTTGGATAAGAGAAAATCCTGTTCTTGGGAAATACACCCTTAAAATATTCAGGGGGCAAAGGGGGATGCCACATGTGATTTACTCTTCAATGGTTCAGAAAAATATTATGTGTATCAATTATAGAGGAGAGATGAAGCAAATATGACAAAATGTTAAAAATTCATGGATATGGGTGAAAGGTATATATAGGAATTTTTTTTACTATTTTTGCACTTTTCTGTACATTTTAAATTATTTCAAAACAAAAACTTAACCACATGATTTTGAATAAAAGAAGAGGCCATTTCTTTCATATAAGACAGCATCTGAAATCATCAATTGAAAGGTAAAACAGCTACAAAACAATATGTAAACAAAAAGCAAGCAACCTCAGGCCACGCGTGGTGGAACACCTGAGGTCGGGAGTTTGAGACCAGCTTGGCCAACATGGTAAAACCCCATCTCTACTAAAAATACAAAAATTAGTTGGGCATAGTGGCGCACGCCTGTAATCCCAGCTACTCGGGAGCTGAGGAGGGATAATCTCTTGAACCTCAGCAGAGGCTGCCATGAGCTGAGATCGCGCCACTGCACTCCAGACTGGGTGACAGAGTAAAACTCTGTATCCAAAAAAAAAAAAAAGTAAACAATCTCTTTAAAACTTATCAGATAACAGAGGGTAATAAAATGAACAAAAGTTCCAGACAGGCACAGTGGTTTATGCCTGTAATCCCAGCACTTTGGGAAATCGAGGTGGGAAGATCATTTGAGGCCTGGAGTTGGAGACCAGCCCAGCCAACATAGTGAGAGACCCTGTCTCTACAAAACAAACAAACAAACAAACAAACAAAACATTAGCCACACATGGTGATGCACATGTGTAGTCCCGGCTACTCAGGAGGCTGAGGTGGGGAGAATTGCTTGAACCTAGGAGTTCAAGTCTGCAGTAAGCCATGATTGTGCCATTGCACTTGCCAGGGTGACAGAGTGAGACTCTGTCTGTAAAAAACAAACAAAAGAGGCCAGGCGCAGTGGTTAACGCCTGTAATCCCAGCACGTTGGGAGGCTGAGGCAGGAGGATCATGAGGTCAGGAGTTCGAGGCTAGCCTGACCAACATGGTGAAACCCCGTCTCTACCAAAAATACAAAAATCAGCCGGGCGTGGTAGCGGGCACCTGTAATCCCAGCTACTCAGGAGGCTGACAGGAGAATCGCTTGTACCCAGGAGGCGGAGGTTGTAGTGAGCAGAGATTGTGCCATTGCACTCCAGCCAGGGCAACAGAGCAAGATTCTGTCTCAAAAACAAAACAAAACAAAACAAAGTTCCTTCTTTGAAGAGTCTGTGCTCCTAATTAGAAGGCCGTTATCATGTGGGATAAATATTTAGCCTTTGAGAAGAAGTCATCGGTGCATACTCAACTCTTGGGCAGCAAGTACTTACTTCACCAGGTTTTGTTGAAGGGCATAGCCATTTTTCCAACAACATGTCCCAGACTTTTTCCAAATTAATTTCATTGACTTCAGCTATTTCTTTAGCTGCTGCATGAATATCTAAGATATTCAAAATAAAGAATTAAAAGAAAAACTCAAGTTTTAAATACTTATATTGAATACTTATATGTGTATGTGTATATATGCACATGCATACACATAAGTATGTTTAAGCATATACATATATAAGCATATATATGTAATATATATGTACACGTACATATATACATAAAACTGGGAATCAAAATAATAGCTTTTCTTGGACAACAAAAAAATAGTTTTGTCCTCACCAGGATAATCTGTGCCAGACGAATTCTGAATTCTTTGATTGATGCTAGGATGTTCGTAGAGACTGACAATGAGATGTGCTGGCTTTCCGATCACTCTTAAATATTCCTCAGTGTTCAGCTTGTGGGCTATGAGTACAGCTTCTGTGCCTGATCGCCGGTACTGGATATGAAGCTTCTTCAACAAAGCCTCGGCTTTTTCACGTTTTTCATCCTTTTAAACAATTCCAAGCAAAAAGAAACTCTTACTTTATAAGTCTCAGTTGAAGCCAAGCATCCATCTTTATCCATCACAATCCCTCCCTTCCTCAGTTATGTTCCTAAGCATCTACATAAAGCCTTGGTCTTCCTTCTCCATTTTAGGCATCAGGGCAGCATGAGAAGGTAAAATAAGCTAGTACAATTTAATTAGGAAGAAGAGAAGCCACCAATCTGATAGTTCAGACACACCTGCGATGGGATATTCTGCAGCCATCTCTCAGCTAAATAAAGGCAGAACTTCAAAGCAGACATCTTGAAGGAACCTAAAAAAATAAATAAATAAAGATTTACAGGCAAATCTTAATCTTTTCAAGAAAATGTATTTTGGTCAAATTAGCAACCTTTTAAAAATTACAAAAATGCATACTCATGGCTGGGTGCAGTGGCTCACATTTGTAATCCCAGCACTTTGGGAGGCCAAGGCAAGTGGATCGCCTGAGGTCAGGAGTTGGAGACCAGCCTGGCCAACATGGAGAAACCCTGTCTCTACTAAAAATACAAAAATTAGCTGGGCATGGTCGCACACGCCTGTAGTCCCAGCTACTCGGGAGGCTGAGGCAGGAGAAGCACTTGAACACAGGAGGCAGAGGTTGCAGTGAGCCGAGATCACGCCACTGCACTCCAGCCTGGGCGACAGAGCAAGATTCCGTCAAAAAAAAAAAAAAAAAGGCCGGGCACGGTGGCTCACACCTGTAATCCTAGCACTTTGGGAGGCCGAGACAGACGGATCACGAAGTCAGGAGATCGAGACCAGCCTGGCTAACACGGTGAAACCCCGTCTCTACTAAAAATACAAAAATTAGCTGGGCATGGTCGCACACGCCTGTAGTCCCAGCTACTCGGGAGGCTGAGGCAGGAGAAGCACTTGAACACAGGAGGCAGAGGTTGCAGTGAGCCAAGATCTCGCCACCGCACTCCAGCCTGGGCGACAGAGCAAGACTCTGTCTCAAAAAAAAAAAAAAGCCGACAGAGGCTTCCATTCCTATTCTCTAGATTCTTATATGCCTTCCAGGAGTTTTCTGTGTGTGTGTGTCAGTCTGTGTTCACACATGCTTGCATGTGCATCTTAACCCTAATGGGTAATACCATACATATTCTAGTACAATTTGCTATTCTCACTTCATATCTTGGATATCTTTCCAGATCAGCCCCATAATATTTCATTCTATGAACACACCCTATTTTCTAACCAGTTCCTGACTTGAGCATTCTTTTAAAAGTCATTTTCAACTTTTGTTACAACCAAAAATGTAGCAGTAAGTGCCTGTGCTTGTGTACCTGTCTGGTTATGTGAGACTATCCAAAGATTCCTCATTGAAAGTGTGATTGGGCCAGGTGTGGTGGCTCACACCTGTAATCCCAGCACTTTGGGAGGCCGAGGCGGGTGGATCACGAGGTCAAGAGATTGAGATCATCTTGGCCAACATGGTGAAACCCCGTCTCTATTAAAAACACAAAAATCAGCTGGGCATGGTGGCGCGCACCTGTAGTCCCAGCTACTCGGGAGACTGAGGCAGGAGAATCACTTGAACCCGGGAGGTGGAGGTTGCAGTGAGCCGAGATCACGCCACTACACTCCAGCCTGGTGACAGAGCAAGACTCCGTCTCAAAAAAAAAAAAAGAAAAAGAAAGTGTGACTGGATATTAGGAAGTACCCATCACTGCTTATTCCTAGCAAAGGTCACACCCCAAAGAAGGCACAAGGACAAGTTGGAAAGTGCCTGCCTCCTTGCCCGTGAGCGTTTCAGCATTCACCACAGTGAAGAGAGCAGGCACATACATTTCAAAACTACCATCCTGCTTCTTCTTGAAGATGCAAAAGGAGTACTTTTTTTTTTCTTTTTACTACAATTTTAAAAGAAGACCTCTTACCTTCGGGGATATCCTGGGCAAGGCTGATGGCAATAGCTACAGCCCACTCTGGGTTGACTATAGAGAGTAAGTAGGATTCAATGGTCTGCGTGATCTTAGTTATTTCCTTGTTAATCAATGTTGAGGATTTAGTTTGTCTTAACTTCAGGAGCTTTGGCTTCAGTTTTTTTTCAAAAACATGTTTTGCTGTAGACACGTAGAGAGTGTCCAGAGAGAACTTCAAAGAAAAGGAAGGTTATGGCTGAAGCACATATTCACATATAAGGTTTTACATGAAAGCAGCAGAAAAATCTACACAGGGTCAGAATTAATTACAGGATACAGAAATGTCTTACAATGTTTTAAGCCATTACCTTCATTAATTTAGAAATTAAGAGCAATGTTGGGAAAGATTCTTCACTGAGTTCTGTAGCTAGAAAGGAAACAAGGAGAGTATGATTTGCTTAAGAAAAAAAATTTGGCTATCCAGTAAAATTCATAAAAAGTTAATGAACACATACAGAGAATTTTCCAGAAGTTCTGTGCTGTGCCAAAGAATATCAGGTGAAAAGGCAGTCTAGTTTGGGCAGCTGATGGCAAAGTTATGACATGTTCCAACATATACTGATATTCCAGATCCACGGGAGGAGAAATTCTTCTGTATGACTTCAAATGTTTCAGAACACTCAACGCCTATATTAAAACAAAACACTTTTGTCCAGTAAGAGTAACCCAATCCTAAACTGTCATAAAATCATCTAACACTATACCATCAAAAGTTTCCATTCCTGAGACCATTTTGTTTTCAGAAAGAGGATCAAAACCTTTTCTAGTATTCCCTTTAATGTTATTCATCTAAACTATAATGTATTACAATCATTAAAGGAATCCTATGAGCAGAAACCACTGGTGCCCTGTTGCTGGTAGGATGTTTTGTAAATGAGAGCTTGACAGCTGATTATCTGCTCTTCAAATAATTTGAGATATAATTCAAAATACTTGATTTCATTTTAAATATAGAGGCTACAGATCTAAATTAATTCTCTACACTCTTATTTTTCTTATGTTTATATTTTCTATTAGGAAACTTTGTATAATCCTTTGAATTGATATATTTTCTTATATAATAAGTCTTATTAAAATATTAAAATATTTCTAAAATATTAATTTCTAAAATCAAATTAAAAAGTATAAAAGCCACTATGACCAAAATTCAGAAACGATGAAGAAGTTAATGAAAGTAATGAGACACAATTGAGTAGGTCTTGGACCTACTCATTAATACACAAATCTGACCTAACTCTCAGCTCCATGGCCTTTTTCACTTCCTACATGGCAAATGTTGACTTAACTCTTCACAATTAGTTCTGTAGTGACTTCATACTCTTCAACAGCAGGAGAGGTTATTTAAATCACCTCAAAACAGCAAAAACAGGATGAAGATAAGTGATAAAATAGGAATGTCATGAAAATCTTTTCCTTTTTTTAAAGATTTGTAAAGATTTTTAAAAACCTAAAATAAACCACAGAGTTTAAAAGGAATTCAGTGGATAATCTGGAAAGGCCCTGAATAATGATATGATTTATGATCCAATTAAAAGCAGAAAGATGATTTTTACATCTTTGATATATTTGTTATACCTGATTAATATTAACATTGGTTATCTTTTCATCAGCTCGTTCTATAACTTTCAGGACAACTTCAATCATTTCATAGTCATAAGGATCCAACTGTATAAAAACAAAAATGTATCAAAACTTGATAAGACTTTGCCATGTTGAAGTTTTATTCAATTACAATCATCAGCACGGATTACAAATATAAAAACATCATTGCACTACAATGTTAAATTAATTACTCCCTTAAAAATGAGCTACAACCGGCCAGATGTGGTGGCTCACGCCTGTAATCCTAGCACTTTGGGAAGCCGAGGCCGGCAGATCACGAGGTCAGGAGATTGAGACCATTCTGGCTAACAGGGTGAAACCCCGTCTCTACTAAAAAATACAAAAAAAAATTAGCCAGGCATGGTGGCAGGCACCTGTTGACCCAGCTACTTAGGAGGCTGAGGCAGGAGAATGGCGTGAACCCAGGAGCGTGAACCCAGGAGGCGCAGCTTGCAGTTAAACGAGATCGTGCCACTGCACTCCAGCCTGGGCAACAGAGTGAGACTCCGTCTCAAAAAATAAAAATAATAATAATAAAAATAAAAAAATAAAGAGCTACAATTTTCTCACCTCTAAAATTACCTGTGAGGATAAACATACATGCTAAAAAAGGTCTCAAAGGCTGTTTTTAAAAGCTGCACAAGGCAGTATTAATAAAGAAGGATGCTCTTGCCTGTAATTCCAGCACTTTGGGAGGCCAAGGCGGGTGGTCAAGAGTTCAAGACCAGCCTGGCCAATGCAGTGAAACCCTATCTCTACCAAAAATACAAAAATTAGCTGGGTGTGGTGGCATGCACCTGTAGTCCCAGCTACCTGGGAGGCTGAGGCAGGAGAATCGCTTGAATCTGGGAAGTGGAGGTTACAGTGAGCTGAGATCATGCCACTGGCTCAGCCTGAACAAAAGAACCAGACTCTGTCTCAAAAATAAGAAGGAAGTTCTTAAGATACTAAAAACATAGAAAGGGTAGGGATATGGTCAAAATTTTATAAGATTTTGAAATTAAAGTTCCATTTCTTCCATTTACAATGGGATAAATTAGAACAGAAAGAAACTGATGCTTTTCTTAGAAATGACACGAGTAAAACTGTGGGCCTCCAAGCAAGTTTCTCAAAGGATTCTGTTTTAGCTCTAACTATATACTATAGTGCAAGAATTAATTGTGTGGCATATGTACATATCCTAACATAAAAAGAAAGGATGTCAGGCTGGGTACAGTGGCTCATGCCTGTAATCCCAACACTTTGGGAGGCTAAGGCACACGGATCACCTGAGGTCAGGCATTTGAGACCAGCCTGGCCAACATGGTGAAATCCTATCTCTACTAAAAATACAAAAAGTAGCCAGCGTGGTGGTGCATGCCTGTAGTACCAACTACTCAGGAGGCAGAGGCAGGAGAATCGCTTGAACCCAGGAGGCAGAGGATGCAGTGAGCCAAGATCGTGCCATTGCACTCCGGCCTGGACGACGGAGTGAGATTTCATCTCAAAAAAACAAACAAAACAACAACAACAAAAAACAGTCTTCTCTTTGTTCTTTGTTTCTTTCTACCCACACACAATTACTTTTTCTCTTTTTATTTTTGAGACAGTCTCGCTCTGTCACCCAGGCTGGAGTGCAGTGGTGTAATAACAACTCACTGCAGCCTTGACTTCCTGGGCTCAAGTAATCCTCCCCGCTTCAGCTTCCCAAATAGCTGGGATTACAGGCACATACCATTAGGCCTACCTAATTTTAAAAAATTTTTTGTAGTGACAAGTTCTTACTATGTTCCTCAAGCTGGCCTATTTTTAAAATGCCAACAAAAGTCATGTGAAAAACAACACTGAACAAAGTGGGAAGATGAAATATTATACCTAGAAAATTTGAGCAATCTATGTAATTTTGGGCTGAATTACAAGCAAAATATAAAACTGAAATATTTATTTCAGGCTTAAAATCTTATTTCCAAGCTGGGCACAGTGGCTCATGCCTGTAATTCCAGCACTTTGGGAGGCCGAGGCAGGTGGATCACCTGAGGTCAGGAGTTCATGACAAGCCTGACCAACATGGTGAAACCGTATCACTCCTAAATACAAAAAATTAGCTGGATGTGGTGGTGCATGCCTGTAATCCCAGCTACTTGGGAAGCTGAGGCAGGAGAACTCGGGAGGCAGGGTTTGCAGGGAGCCGAGACTGCGCCATTAGACTCCAGCCTAGACAACAAGAGCAAAACTCCATCTCAAAAAAAAAAAATTTATTTCCCTGCCATTCACCTTCATTGCTCCATTAAACTACCCCCTGACCAAACATTCCAATTCTCAGATCAGAAGATCTCCTAAACAAATACTTAGCTATATACTATACCAGGTATAGTCCCTGTAGTTCCAGCTACTCAGGAAGCTGAAGCAAGAGGATCACCTGAGCCCAGGAGTTAGAGGCCAACCTGCGCAAAATAGCGAGACCCCCTTCTCTTAAAAAAAATTTAAAAAATCAGACAAAAGTATAAAAACATGTATGAAGATATTAATTACAACCATTTATAATAATAAAATCTACCCAGCCAGGACAACATAGTGAGATGCATCTTCACAAAAAATTTTTTAAAAATTAAACAATTTAAAAAAAAATACTGCCATAAAATTATGGCGGCATGCACCTATAGTCCCAGCTACCTGGGAGGCTGAGGTAGAAGGACCAGTTGAGCCCAGGAAGTCAAGGCTGCCATGAGCCATGTTCACAACACTGCACTCCAGCCTAGGTGACAGTGAGACCCTATCTCAAAACAAAAACAAAAACAAAAAAACAATTTAAATGTCTATCCACAAAAGGCTGGTTAAATACAGCATGTTTTATCCATATAATGGAATAATAGTTATGCATCTGTCAAAAATGATGTTTCACTAGGCCTGGTGGCTCACCTCTGTATTCCTAGTACTTCAGGAGGCCAAGGTGGGAGGATCACTTGAGGCCAGTAGTTTGAAAACAGCCTGGACAACATGGTGAAATCCCATCTCTACTAAAAATATAAAAATGAACCAGGCATGATGGTGCACACCTTTAATCCCAGCTACTTGGGAGGCTGAGGCTGGACTATCACTTGAGCCCAGGACATAGAGGCTGTAGTGAGTCACATTCATACCACTGCACTCCAGCCTGGGCAACAGAGCAAGACCTTGTCTCAAAAAAAAAAGAAAAAAGACATTTCCGGCAGGATAGTGAAAAAGAAATTGTTTCTTTTGAGATAGATGTATATGTATTGACATATAATGACAATATGTTAAGTGAAAAAAGAGGGTCACAGAATAGTATATTTAGTGTAAGATAGTTACTACACCACATTATTAACATTTCTATCTCTAAGGATTGGGGTTATAGGAAAATTGCCTGTTCTGATTTATACATTTCTTTCTAGCTCATACAAATTCAAAGAATGTGTAAGGTTTTCAAAAATCTGGGGAAGAAAAGCTACTTCTATTTTGAAAAATGGGAAAATTATATTTAACTGTGTTAAAAATATAGAAATCAAGAGAATATTTCAAATTAAAAGTTGATAAAAATATAGACTTATACATCCAATTTGTTATTAACGTATCTAATTATTGAGGGTGGGGGGGATAACTGAGATGACCCAACTCATTTCACTGTGTGTCTACCTTATGTAGTATCCCACTAAGACTGATGACCAAATCTTTTGTGCTCATCAGTAAAGGAACCATCTCAAGGGCTTTGGCCAGGAGTTTGGGATGCCGCTGCTTTGCAGAGTCCGTGCTTGCATCTCCCTGGCCTTGGCTGGCATTCGTGTTGTGGAGCAGTGTTTCAATGAAGAGCTGAAGAGCTGCATCGCAGTCCAACTGAAATGTGCTAAAAGAAGCATTCAATACATACCAATCTCCCTAACTGCAGGCATTTCCATGCAACGTATCTGACAAAACACCTGGGTACATGCTTCCATTGTCGAAATTTAACCTTGTCATTGTCCAGTCTCAAAATCAGATAAACTACCTGTCATCAAAGCTAATTATTGCCTTTTAAAAATCAGATATTAGGCCGCGCGCGGTGACTCACATCTGTAATCCCAGCACTTTGGGAGGCCGAGGTGAGCAGATCATGAGGTCAGGAGTTTGAGACTAGCCTGGCCAACATAGTGAAACCTCATCTCTACTAAAAATACAAAAATTAGCCAGGCATGGTGGTGCACACCTGTAGTCCTAGCTACTTGGGAGGCTGAGGCAGGAGAATCGCTTGAACCTGGAAGGCAGAAGTGGTGAGAAAAGGTCGTGCCACTGCACTCCAGCTTGGGCAACAGAGCGAGACTCCATCTCAAAAAAAAAATAAAATAAAAAATAAATCCGATATTATTCCTGGTGGGTGTGTAAACTGTTATAATATTGGAGAGATAGCTGTAATAAAATTGAAAATATTTATGCTCTTTAGGATAACAATGCAACATTTACAAATTTCACCTAAGTAGAAAAGGATACGTTAGTAAGGACGTCCCCTGGAACAACTCTTTGTAATAATTAAAAGCTGAAAACAATTTATACCTATAAATGCCTACACATCAAAACAGTAGAAATAATTCACAAACAACCTAACAACACATCTTAAAGAAGTAGAAAAGGAAGAGCCAAACACAAAATTAGTAAAAGAAGCAATAAAGATCAGTGCAGAAATAAATGAAATTGAAACAAAAACAATACCAAGGATCAACAAAACAAAAAGTTGGATTTTTTTTGTTTTTTTGAGACAGGGTCTCATTCTGTTCTCCAGGCTGAAGTGCAGTGGCATGATCAAGGCTCACTGCAATCTCAACCTCCTGGGCTCAAGCAATCCTCCCACCTCAACCTAGCTGGAACTACAAGAACGCGCCACAATACTCAACGAATTTTTTTAGTTTTGTAGAGATGGGGCTCTCACTCTGTCACTAAGGCTGGTCTCCATCTCCTGGCCTCAAGCAATCCTCCTGCCTTGGCCCCTCAAAGTGTTGCGATTATAGGTGTTAGCCACCATCCCCAGCCAAAGAGCTGTTTTTTAAAAAAAAGATAAAAAAAAAAAAAAAAGCAGGCCGGCACGGTGGTTCATGCCTGTAATCCCAGCACTTTGGGAGGCCAAGGCAGACAGATCATTTAAGGTCAGGAGTTGGGAGCCCAGCCTGACCAATATGGTGAAACTCCATCTCTACTAAAAATACAAAAATTGCCGGGCGCGATGGCTCACGCCTGTAATCCCAGCACTTTGGGAGGCCGAGGCGGGCAGATCACAAGGTCAGGAGATGGAGACCACGGTGAAACCCCGTCCCTACTAAAAATACAAAAAATTAGCCGGGCGCGGTGGCGGGCGCCTGTAGTCCCAGCTACTCAGGAGGCTGAGGCAGGAGAATGGCGTGAACCCGGGAGGCGGAGCTTGCAGTGAGGCGAGATCGCGCCACTGCACTCCAGCCTGGGCGACAGAGCGAGACTCTGTCTCAAAAAAAAAGAAAAAAAAAAAAAAATTAGGCCAGGCATGGTGGCTCACGCCTGTAATCCTAGCACTTTGGGAGGTCCAGACGGGTGGATTGCCTGAACTCAGGAGTTCGAGACCAGCCTGGACAACACGGTGAAACCCCATCTCTACTAAAATACAAAAAATTAACCCGGTGTGGTGGCGTGTGCCTGTAATCCCAGCTACTCAAGAGGCTGAGGCAGGAGAATCGCTTGAACCCAGGAGGTGGAAGTTGCAGTGAGAAGAGATTGCGCCACTGCACTCCAGCCTGGGTGACAGAGGGAGACTCCATCTCAAAAAAGAAACAAAAAAAGAATCTGGTTACTATAGACAAAATAACAATTGAAATGCCTTTTTAGACCCTATTAATAAGACAATGACAGTTTAATTTGCTATACAGAGTAACCAAAATAGCAATAAAAGGCTTAAGTACCACCATTTTCAAGTCACTCTCTGATATTCTAAAGGTTATCTAAATTTATTCAGGTAGACTGCCTGAGGCAGAGGTGTCACTATCATATGAATACAAATCATCAATGCCACATAAGTAGAATAATTATGAAATGAACTTGACATTATAGCTATTTAAATTTCAAAAAAGTATCCTGCAACATAAAACATCACAGAAGAATCTAGCAGAAGTCCAAATTAATAAAAAAAGATAAGGGTGTGCGTATCCTATTCTGGATTTATAGCACTCTAAACTGAAGAATGACATAGTTTTGTTACTTCAAACTACTCTTTAAGTCAGTGCTCCTTCAAGCTATGGGCAGTCTATAGTCCTTGACTTGCAGGTACAGGATGGTGACAGCCACGGTCTTTCCCCACTGTCCACAGAGACAAAGAACTAGATGCCTGCCTGGTGCAGGAAATGTACCAAGCAGTTTCATTCTCAATAACTCAGATTCTATTCATCTGTTACAAATCAGATGGGGGTTATAGCACCCATAAGATTTTAGAAGCAGTCATTAATAATTTGACCTTGAGCAGGTCATGTACTATGGGTTTGTTTTCTCATATATCGACTGGCAACATATGCAATAAGAACTGTAAAAATTAAATGAGGTGACATATCTGAAAGCATTCTGAAACCAGAAAACAAGTCCTTCTATTTACTAGATAGAAACATCTGAGTTATAAATTACATATCATTTATCCCTACTCATCAAAGTAAGCTGAATCTATAAATAACACATTTTATCTTAGTTCTAAAAATTCTTGTTCAGGCGCAGTGGCTCACCCCTATAATCCCAGTACTTTGGGAGGCTGAGGTGGGTGGATCACTTGAGGTCAGGAGTTCGACAACAGCCTGGCCAACATGGTGAAACCCCGTCTCTACTAAAAATATAAAAATTAGCCAGGCGCAGTGGTGTACACCTGTAATCCCAGCTACTTGGGAGGTTGAGGCCAGAGAATCACTTAAAGGTGGAGGTTGCAGTGAGCTGAGATTGCACCACTGCATTCCAGCCTGGGTGACAGAGCGAGACTCCGTATCAAATAAATAAGTTAATTAAATAAAGATAAGAATTTTTATAAATATTTCAATAGGAAATTAGAAATTCTCCCTAAATCAAACTTTTCATTAATTTTTAAGATTACTTTGCTCCCTAGCTAATCTGATTTAGAAGTTTATTACTCAGAAGAATATTCTCCAACTTTTCTGATCATAGGAATCATCTGAGCTCCTATTAGAGACCAGCAATTCCGAGGCCCCGGTCCAGACCCACTAAGTCAGAACGGCAGAGAGACCCAGAAACCTGCATGTGAAAGTTAGTGCCCTAGACGATGCTTAACAGGAGACAAGTTTGGGAAACACTAAATGGTGAATTTAAATGGTGATATCATAAGAGACTCTAATCTGACTTCATATTTACTCAGTTTGGGAATGAGCAAAAGAAAATATCAGAGGTCCATGGACCTTGTAAAATAATCATCGTTATTACTGTGTTCTTGCAATAAGGATTACCATTTTGTTAACAGCAAAAATACCATTAATGTTTAAAGAATTACCTGCAATATTCCAGAATGAGGCTTGTGTCCATATCTATATTCTCCACAAGAGCTTTAATGAGGTCCTTCTTGGTGAGAAAATGTTGCCTGAAAACTGGTTGAAAAGAAATCTAGAAATAAAAAGAACAAAACAAACCAAAAAAATCCTCTACACTGAAATGTATCAGAGTAAGGGCAACATGATGACTTGCCTTCTTAGTATCCTTTTTAAAAAGAAACATTTGTCTATAGCTCCTCCAACTTCACACTACCTAACCCAGCCATCATTCTGAGATTTCAGGTGTACTTGGGTCTGAAACTCCTTAGTCATCCTAACCATTGCCTCTTCATCTGAAAAGTTTGATTGTTAATGTCAACAGAACACCAGTTCCATTACTGCAGAAGAATTAAGCTTCAAAACATATAGCATTTCTGTACTGGTTACCTTCCTGATAAGTCAACTGTTTGCAAGTAAAATGTCTTATATTTTTGGTAAAGAAAACAGGGTTTTGGCTAATGCCTATAATCCCAGCACTGGAGGTGGAGGCGGGTGGATCACTTGAGGTCAGGAGTTCGAGACCAGCCTGGCCAACATGGAAACTCTGTCTCTACAAAAAATACAAAACAATTAGCTGGGTATGGTAGTGCATGCCTGTAGTCCCAGCTACTCAGGAGGCTAAGTTGGGAGGATCACTTGGGCCCTAGAGGTCGAGGCTGCAGTGAGCCATGATAATGCCACTGCACTCCAGCCTGGGTGACAGAGGGAGA